TGGACTCCGCGCCCACCGTGGACCTGAACCGCGTGCTCAACGACACCAGGAGCCAGTACGAAGCCCTGGTGGAGACCAACCGCAGGGACGTGGAGGAGTGGTTCACCACCCAGGTGGGCCTCTCAACCCTGGACATGTGGGAACCCAGGCCCCGGGGGCCCTGCAGGTGGGGTCTGACCCCAGATATCCCCTTTGCTGTTGCAGACCGAGGAGCTGAACAAGCAGGTGGTGTCGAGCTCTGAGCAGCTGCAGACGTGCCAGGCGGAGATCATCGAGCTGAGACGCACGGTCAACGCCCTGGAGATCGAGCTGCAGGCCCAGCACAACCTGGTGGGTGTTGTTCCCACTTGCTAGGAAGTGGGAAGTCAGGAAATGGGAGTCAGTGGGATGCCTTTCAGGCCGTCCTCTCCCTCCTAACGCTAGCCGCTTGTGGTGTCTTTGCAAGCCTCTGGGAGAAGCCCCTTCAGGAGTGACTGTGAGTTGTTCTCTATCCCCCACATAGAGAGACTCCCTGGAGAACACTCTGACAGAGACGGAGGCTCGCTACAGCTCCCAGCTGTCCCAGGTGCAGTGCATGATCACCAACGTGGAGTCCCAGCTGGCCGAGATCAGGAGTGACCTGGAGCGGCAGAACCAGGAGTACCAGGTGCTGCTGGATGTGCGGGCCCGGCTGGAGTGCGAGATCAACACGTACCGCGGCCTGCTGGAGAGCGAGGACTGCAAGTGAGTAGGAGACTGGCACTATTTTCCTTGGGAGTGTAGCAGGTGATATGTTGATGAAAGGTTTTCAGTATGGAAATGAATTTAAAATTCAAGCTTTTGGTTGGAGACAGTCTCAGGAAGAACCACCTTTTTATATACAGTACGTTTCGTATCTTCTTATCTCTTCAGTTCGTTTTACCCTAACTTGCCCCAATGGTTTTCTGTCTCCAGGCTCCCCTGCAACCCATGCGCCACAACCAATGCATGTGCCACAGCCTGCATGCCCAGTCCTTGTGCCCAACGCCCTCGCTGCGGGCCTTGCAACAGCTTTGGGTGCTAGACAACCCGGTGTCAGGAGGAGGAGAGGGGTTCTAGAGTTACTTCACAGCTCTGTTTCATCCAGAAGTCTCCAACTATGACTGAACTTTCGACAAAGCAAGCAATTTCTATGAGAACTAGCTCCAGGTGTCAACATGAGCCTTCCACTGAATTCCCGGGATGGATACTTTAGTGCTAGACGGCAAAGTCTACTCAGACTCAGTGTGTGTTCTGAGTCAGAGTGAGAAATCTACAACAGGATCAAGTGATATCTACTTTCATGATCACACAATGTTATGCTTTAACAAATACTCATTGAAATAAGATTTTAAAATAATTGCATTAAATGTGATAGAGCAGGCTATGACCCTGAACTGGAAGAAATCTTTGTTGATCTTTTGGTCTTTGGAGATGCAATACAGAGCCCTTGTAAACCTCCTAATAAACTCTTTATCTGGTTTAAACATGCTATCTGTCTTCATTCATTCATTTCAAATCGGGTGTCTTCCCTACTGAATGGGAGAAAATATTTGCATACCACACAACTTATAAGGGGCTGATATCAAAGATCTACAAAGAACTAACACAACTCACAACTCAACAAAAACAAACAATCCAATCAAAAAATGCGCAGAATTCTCCAAGAAGAAATGCAAATGGTCAATAGGCATATGAGAAAATGCTCAACATCCCTTATTATCAGGGAAATGCAAATGAAAACCACAAGGAGATATTACCTCACATCTGTGAGAATGGCACATATTAAAAAATTAGAAACAACAAATGCTGGTGAAGATGCGCAAACAGTGCTGGTGGGAAAGCAAACTGGTCAAGCCACTATGGGAAGTTGTGAGGAGGTTCCTCAGAACACTAAAAATGGATCTACCACCTGATCCAGCAATTCCACTCCATGAATCTACAAAAACACTAATTCGAAAGGAAACCTGCACTTGCATGTTTGTTACAGCCCTATTCACAATAGCTAAGATATAGAAACAACTTAAATGCCCCAAAACAGATGACTGGATCAAGAAGATGTGGTATACATACACAATGGAATATTACTTGGCAATCAAAAAAAGATAAATTTGGGGCTTCCCTGGTGGCACAAGGGGTTAAGATGCAACCTATGAAGGTGTCCTCAGTCTCTGCAGCATGAGTTTGATTCCTGGCCGACCAAGGAGCAACCCACATGACGAAGCAGACCTCTCCTGACTCACCCGCTGCTTCTCTCAGCAGTGTACTTCAGTAGATCTGCCTGTTCTGTTCCCCACTCTGTCCCTGGTGAATCCTTATACCCCCCGACACTTCTGGCCTGTACCCAAGCTCTTGTATGCATAAATAAATAAATCTTTAAAAAAATAAATTGTGGCAACAGGGATGGAACTGGAAGGGACTATGCTAAATGAAATAAGTCTGAAGGAAAAAGATAAATATTGAATGGTTTCACTTATATGGGGACTACAGAGAAATGGAAGAAAGGGTCAGGGAAAAGACAAAACTTGCAAGGTGACGATATATCTGAGGCATGGAGCAGGAGAGGGGATGGGATAGGAGTCAAAACAGGGAAGGGACGAGCACAAGGGACGGTGGTGATGGATCCCGGGTGCTGTGGAGGTGGGAGAACTACGGGGATGACATCTGAGGGGAGAAATCAAATACTGTCCAAAAATTAAGAATGACATAAGAAAATAATTAAAACCAAAACTGGGTGTCCTGTGTAAATACAAAATAACTGGCACGCTTCCATCAGATGAAGGGGCTCTGCTCACCCCCGTATATGGTCTGTGACTACCCTCAGAAGAAAATTTCCCACCAGACACCACCTACCTACTGTCGTGGATTTCCTGCTGGGAGGTGGCGGGAAGGGACTGGCGAGTCCGCACCAGAGGATCTGCTGACATTTCCTGTTAAGCTTCTCAGAGGGAATATGAGTCAGAAATCGGACATCAGGAGGTGGCGACTCTTGAGAGAAAGGCTGTCTTTCGGCAACATGAAATATTGCAACCTAGAAAGAAGTGGGGAAAACATATTCAGCCAATAATCATCTTACTCCATTTCTGTCTCTGCCATCTTGGAGAGCTTTTTTTCATGGCCATCAAAATCAAGGAACAACTTTTTTGGGGAATAAATCTCTCAGAATAATTATTGAGTATGTAGAATACATTGTACTCAGATCCAGTCCTTAGAGACAATGTATGACACATCTTCACACCAAACTGTTAAAAAAGATTTATTTTCAATTACATTCCTCTCACTGAAATGCTATTAATGTTGATAATCTTTTTCCTATCAATCAGAGTATTTAGGAGGGAAAATGTTTTTGTCCATTTAAGAATAAAAGCAAAGTCATTTCCAAAGTTTTGTCACAGATTACTTATCCCTTACAATATTTTTTATTAGTCATGTATATTTTATAATATACAGAATATTTTAGAGTTGTGGTATAGAAACATAATTTACATAAAAATCAGTGAACACACGGGGGGCATGTATGCCACACTTCTCAGACTGGGATGTTAAATACCATGAGATCCAGAGGACTAGAGGGCCCTGGCCCCCTGGTCTGCCTCGAGAGTGTGAGCCCCCCACTGTGACCCCAGCCAGTGGCCCAGTCTGGACAAGGTCCGTTCCCAGGGCTGCCCTGGGAAGTCAGATGAGATCGGGCCCCTGGAGTTTACACTAGTGAGGGAGAGAGACAGGAGATGAGGGACCAAGCAACTAAGTCACAAGTAGAGCAGGAAGAGGCTTTTGGTTAGCAGGAGGTGCCAAGAAGAGAAGATAGAGCGAGGCTGATGTGAGTCTGCTGGTCTCTCCAGGGTGGCATGGGAGCTGGGACCTGGAAAATGGGAAGAAACAGATCAGAGGGAAAGACTCTTCCAGAGTACCAGCAAGTCAAGGGAGGGCGTGAGGCAGGTGCCTTTGAAGGAGGAAGGTCACTGACAGCAAGGAAGGGGCCATAGGGCCCTGGGACAGGCAGCGGCCAGGGCGTGGCAACTTGAAGGCTCTTGGGAGGACCTGACTGTATTTTCAGTGATGAGGGAAGCCTTGGAAAAGTTGAAAGGATGGATTTGATTGACACCTTTATTGAAAGCAGCACTCTGGCAGCTGAGTGGGAAACAGATGTGCAGAACACTAACACAGCTGGGGTGGCGGGTAATGGCCACCGTCAAATGCTTGTTCTGTTCTGTTTCAAAGAGTCATTGCTTCCTACCAGCTGCTCCCTGTGCTCATCAAAAACAGGAAAGTCAGACAAGAAGTGCCAAAAGTGACAAGAGTTGTTAAAACTGTCAGAAGATATAATCATGATATGACTTGTCCCTTGTTATTGCAAAACTCATACTGACAGCCTGATGAGGGCCGCACCAGGCTCTTATCTGAGTCCACGCCAGGTGTGCACAGGTGTGCAGCCCGAGCCGCTTACTCTCACTTGTTAACATGTAGGGACAAGCACAGGTCTGAAATAGAAAGACCAGGGAAGGTTTACAGACTCTCTGGTCAAAGACAGAATTACAAGAGACCAGAACCCCAGGGAGTGCTGGGGTCTGCATGGGCTCGCTCACGTGACAGCTGGAGTAGGAGACTGGAGTATGTGCATGCGAAGTTTTAGAAATGGTTAAAGAAATCAAGAGAAAGAATACAAACCGAGTCCCTGAAAAATCTCAGGTTGGATAACACTTGCATTAGAATCTAATCTGGGGCCTCCCCGGTGGCGCAGCGGTTGAGCGCTGGGTTGCGAAGCTGCCCGCGGCCTCTGCAGCGCTGGTTCGATCCCCGGCTGCTCCCCGGCCACCGGAGGAGGGTCCCACATGGTGCGCAGACCTCTCCTGCCACCCGCTGCTCCCCTCAGCAGTGTACTTCGGTCCTTCTGCCTGCTCTGCTCCCTGCTCTGGCTCTGGTGAATTCTCTCACCCTCCTGCACTTCTGACTGTACCCAGTGCTTGTATAAATAAATAAATAAATCTTTAAAAAAAAAAAAAACAACTTAAAAAAAAAAAGAATCTAATCTGAAGTGTAAGCTCCATTGGAATCTCAAATCAAGCTTATTACTTGGCTGGTCAAGCCTCAGTTTCTTGATACATAAAATGGGGAAATAACCACCTCCTAGCTTTTAAATTACGGGTGAAATGAGATTCTTGATAAAGAAAGCATTGGTAAAACTTTCTGTTGGCCAGTGGCCAAGATGAAATAACTGCTCAGTAAATAGTTTCTATTCGTGTTCTTGGGGACCTGGCAGGAGTCGTGTCTCTGTGCTCTGGCCGCCTTCCTATCAATAGGCAGGACAGGGAATCCACAGCCTCGACATCCAGACTTTGCTCACTCAGGGCCTTCAGCAGGCACGTTAGGAACACAGTTCCAAGTTCCCTCAAGGTGAGGGCTGTGGAAGACTGAATGGTGGGGAAGGAGCTGAGGACTCTGACCTGAGGGCTGAGAATCAGAGAGGGGTGAATTCAGATGTGTGCATGTGAGCATGTGCATGCGGCGATCCCTGTGCACATGGGTGTTGTCAGGCAGAAGATGGCTGCTCAAGGATATGAAGCGAGGGGGGCTGTCATGAAAGTATCAATCAGAATGCTCGCATGGCGAGGCAGATGGGCAGCACAGTTCTCCCAGTGCCACCTACCAGATTTACTGACTCACGGCTGACTGCTGACCAAGGGAATACAGGTTACCCGTGACTGGGACACTGGGGCCCAGAGCTGAGTG